CCTCCCTCTCTGGAAGGCCTAGCCAAGTTTCCACTGGCTCTTATTCAACTCACTCAGTAGTTAAATGCTAACTCAGTTCATGGAAGAAAGAAAAAGAAAGCTGTGTTTGGGTATTTAGTGCTAACAGCATTCTTCCATTCAATTTTTCCATTAATAAAACTGACACCTTAAACTTCCAATTTTTTTTAAAAAATGTACCATTTACACAATCATAGGGAAGAAGCAGCAAGCCTTAAGCTATCAATTTGATGTGTCTCTTATTTCTTGTCATGAAACCCTAGAAGACAAACTACAAACAGGACATCCTTGGGAACATGGAAGACCTCATTCCTGTCACGTAGCTAGTTTCCAGGGGGAAGTATATCACTTTCCCTTCATTCAGCTGCTAGAAATGAAAGCCGGCAAAGTCTGTGGACTACCCTCTGAACTCTGCACAGTAGGCATCAAGGCCCTAGATCTCTCTTGTTTATTTAACAAGTGTACATCAGTGTACTGCTTCCCTACACATAACCTGAACACTTGTTACAGTTAAAAAAAACACTGTCTTTGAACAAAAACACAGCAGCTTCTAAAAACAAAATCAAACTGGAATAGTCTGTGTTTAAACAGAGCTTTTTGATCTTTTTGTGTTACTTGATTTTTTTTTTCAAAAGGAACTTACAAACACCATTTCTGTCAGATTTGGCTTTGCAAAGGGAGCAGACACCCATTAAATCTTCCCAAAAGCTCTAGCTCAGGGACTCTTGTACTGACACGGGGTAATAGATATAACTCCCAAACTTGCTAGGTAACTGAAATGCAAGTTTGTGTTCTCTAAAATCAAAGAATGGATTCTAGGAACAATGGAGGTTAAGAATAGGAAAAATTGAGGTAGGCCAGGCCCCACTCCACCGCGGGAAGGAGAACCACGCCTGCTCCCGACCCAGCAGCCATCGCTCAAGCGCCAGGAAGGTAGCCGCGCGGGCACCCCTGAACCCCTGTAATCACCCCCACTGCACTCTCAGACCTCCTGACTGTGCAAGTCTTTGGACCCACTCTGCAAAGACAGAGGTGGTCATCAAGGGTATTTTTCTGAGTTCCCAACTTTGAACATCTTTAAAGAAAGGGCGTGGGAAACGTGTAATAGAACGTTGTGGAGTTCAACCATTCAGAAGGTTTGGGAACTCAACCTGGGCCTTGCAGCCTGAGGTCAGTCAGCTTCATGGGGTTCAGCAATCAGCTAACTGAGATCAGGGGTCTTGGATCCTCACTCTGTCTGAGCCATTAAATGGTAAATATACTATATTGAAAAGTTTGTTCACTGCAGACATGTTCTGGACTACTTCTTGATTTCAATTTAATTCAAATGATTTAAGGGTGATAGACTAGTGACTACCACAGGTGGTCATTGTCAAAGTTGTGCTTGATCTTAATGTGTTGCTGATTGCATCAGTTGGGGTAAAGCATTGCTGTTGATTTGATGAGCTGTTTTCTCTGAAGTTATGAAGATAATAATGTCTGTGGGTCGTTAGAGACACAGAAGCTAGGGTGCAACTATATCAGGAAGATTTGAGTGATAATCCAGAGATTAAACCAAGGACAGCCCGACAACAAAAATTAAAATGAGTAAACACTTAAGCAAGACACAAGGACAGACTTCCAGTTCACCAATGATGATGAGCTGTTCTCTGAAGTTATGAAGATAATAATGTCTGTGGGTCGTTAGAGACACAGAAGCTAGGGTGCAACTATATCAGGAAGATTTGAGTGATAATCCAGAGATTAAACCAAGGACAGCCCGACAACAAAAATTATAAAGAGTAAACACTTAAGCAAGACACAAGGACAGACTTCCAGTTCACCAATGGCAAACAGTAGGGCAAATGAGGATGAAAAGGCTGGTGGTGAGCCACCAGGACACCCTGAACTCAAAGCACAGGAAGTAACAAAACAGATCAATCAGGCTCTAGAAAAATTCAAAACAGAAATAATTTCCAAGATAACCACAGAGATAGTGAGCAAAATGGAAGTCATGATTCAAGACTCTAGAGCAGAAACTGACAAAAAAATAGATGAGCTCAGGACCATGATAGAAGCCATGAAGGCCCAGCATAAGAAAGAAATGGAAAAAATAAACGCCCAACATAGGAAAGAAATGGAATCCATAAAACAGATTCAAACAGATATCCAGGAGATTAA